CAGCTTGTTGAGAGGAGGCTGCTGGGCCTTTCCCACTTGTCACATATTTCTCTAGCAGCAAATCCCTGCTTCTTTGCTGTGTTCCCATGGGAATTAGGGTAGCCGTGTGAAGCAATTCCACCCATTGCTTGTGTGCTACACTGAGGAGACCAATAGTGACTATGTCTGGAAAGGACACATGGTGACAACTGTCACTGACTAATCTGGTGGGAGGATAAGAAGATCATGATAAAGTGTGCTTAAATGTTTTTCTGTGGTACAAGAGTTGAAAGAGTTGGAGTAGCCTGTGCTTCCAGTCCGGTAATACACCAAACACTCTTTCTGGAGGCTTTTTCTACTTTTTCTTCACATCTTTCTTGTAATAATTTCTTGTAAAAAAYTTCTTGTTATAATTTCTTGTAAAAAATAGTGAGTTTTTTTTTTAATAAAAAGGACAGTTCWTTTTAAGCACATCTGAAATGGTTTTACAGCAACTCTGGTAATATGAAAGGCAGAAATCCTTACTGCTGAATATTTGTTCCCCTGACAGTAAACCTTGGTAGAACTTAAATAATCTCTGACCTTATAGTACTAGTTTACAGTATCAGTAGTTTCCTGTCATGACTCAGTGGCTAGAACAGTGCTCATATCTGTCAGAGTCTTTTTTTTATTATTTTTTTCTCCATCTCTTTTTGAAGCCTCTCAGAATGGGTGGAGAGATGAGTGAGAGAGTCCTGATTCTTGCCCCTTTTCTTTTTACAAATCAACCTGCTTCTGCTTTTTCTATTCCTTTCAATCCTTTTATCCATTGGTTTCCCATTCACATATGTTGTTGACCACATCTTTTCCCATTTTGTTCCCACTGACAGTGTCAGACTCTCTGATAATGCTTGGAAAATACTGAGCTCATTCCCTCCTTAGCCTTTTCCCCTCAATGGTACTTTTCTCTTCCATTCTCCAAATCAAACCTCTTTGCATCCTCCCTTCCTCTTCAGTTATCTTGCTGAACCTGTGCTGCTATAATAAGCTCTGCTACCAGTAAAGTTGGTGGGTTTAATAGTCCGGGCTTGATACGAACATTATACATTGGACAGTGTTAGGATGGAGTTAAATTTGGCTATAGGGTTGGGGGTAATGTGCTGGAGGGCAACTGCTCATCTCAGAGCCTTCTGTGGTTGGAATAATGATGGAGTAAGTCAATGGCAAACCCCATGCAGGTGGAAATAGTCTTCTCTTTTGTGGCCTTGCACCTCTTAAGACGGTTATCCGCTGCTGCAAGGCTAAGACTGAGCATTGATGTTTATTTTCCCCAGTTGTCACCAAGCCCCCAGCCATCTGCAGGAGCCTGCAATAATCCCCACACTTCTGCAGCTTCCATCTCAGAGATGTGCAATCCCAGCCTCAGCATAAACTTGGGTTTAGGGAAACAAGGAACAAGGTGGACTTTTCACTGCATCTACAAAGGCAATCTTGGGGCATTCTGTCCCTACAGAAGGGGTAGAAATCAGCTTATGGTCGTATGCCTTCTATTACTATTTAGGCTTTTATTCTGAACATCAGAGTAAAATGCCCTTCTTGCCAAAATTAACAAAAAGCCTCCAGAGTCTGCATGTGTCATATTATCAATTTAATTCTCTGAAATTTTCCTATATTGTGTAGTAGTCCTGGCTCTGCAGCTTTTCTTCCCGAAGCCTGAGCCCTATGCCTCTGAGTGGTACCCTGGGAGTTTGCTTCCAACCACAATTCAGAAGACCTTTCAGTCTGATGATTATGACCATATGCCAGTCTTTTAGGATTTGCAAAATGGTTTGAGTTCTGCAGCTTCTTTTGTGCTGAACTTAACTTCTGTGTAGCTRTTGATTAGGATCTTATCTTTACCAGAAAAATCTAGTTTACCACTAAAGACTTGTAGTAAGCTACAATCATGGCTCTGCTGCTTGTGCTCAGAAGGTGTGAATTCAGAAATCTGAAAACAGACCTAGGACTCCATTTCAGGTCAAAATTAAATGGAAGATATTTTGAAGTGCTGAAAGGAGTCTTGAGCTGCATATGATCCCTTTACTTTCTCTCTAACCACAGCAGGCCCCCAGACTAGCAAAGTATTTCTGTTCAGTAGGAACCATTGGCACGTGGGCTTGTCTGTTGTTTCTCTGTGATTACCTCTCCAGGACATGTGAAGTTCAGAAGCAGTTTCAGATTCACAACTTGTCTATAATGCTCTGCAGAAAACTCTGGTCTTACTCTGATAAATGCAGCTCAGACACTAGAAGCTGTTTGAATCTACTGATAATAGACGATCAGATGGTGATAATGACTCCAGCAGCCCTTGTTTCTGGGAACCTAATTAATAATATAGACAGTGAAGTAGAAATGTGTTTCAGACCAAAAGTTTGAGGAAAGGTCTATTGAGAGCAGCAGGACATGCAAACTTTGGTAAGTTCTGGCTGTTCTCCAGGAAATGCTGCCTTTCCTCCATTGGAGTCAACCTAGGAATACATCTTGGGACAGGGAGTCAGAAAAATGAAATTGCAGAGAGGCAGATTGGTTTCTGGGGGTGCTCCCCCCCAGGGGCTGTAGTCTTAACATTGGCTTTTCCAAATAGATTTATGGACTTCATCTTGCTTTGAATGCCGTAATAGAAATATATATTACARGCCAAAGTTAACTGGAAGTCATTTCAACCTCTTGCTTAGGCTGTGGCTTAAGGACCTTTTTCTGCTGAAAAATGTATGAAGAATCATTAAATGTTACTGAAATCAGCTGCTATAGAGTTCCGCTATACATTATTTGTTAAGATGAGATACAGTCCTGACCCTATGACTCAGTAGTCCTTGTCCAGTTGCAACACAGTCAACAGCACGGGATAAATAACACTTTTTTTCATGTGAAACATGAAGAAGTAATTTAAGTCTATGCAGACCAATCTATTCTCTAGCCTGCACAATGTTATAAAATCAACTTTTTAGCTATTCTCTAGGAAGCTCTAGAGTAGTGGTTTGGGAAAGAGAGGAGAAACATAGTTCTGGGCAATATTAAGTAGAAACAAGCTGAATTTCCTTTAGGTGAAAGTGGAGAGAGCAATCAAAATAGAAAAGCAGAATCTTTCATAAACTTTGTTATGTAGCTTTGAAATCTGTATTTTTCCTAAGGTTTGGATAAAAGCAACCCCCTCATCTCTTTCAGGATGTGTATTTAGATGCTGCTKGTAGGTTTTTGTGTGATGAGGGACCAGGCTCCTGTGGGGAGGCCTTGGGGTGCTCTGCTCTTATAGCAGAATAGATTGGCCCAAGAAAGAAGGTTTTAAGATCGTTTCCAGGGTCTCCATACCAGATATAAACAGATGACAAACTGCTGCGCTTTGAAATTTGCTTTTTTGTTGTTGTTGTTGTCTTTTCCTATACAGCCTGGATGTTTACTTAGTTTTATGGCAGTATGTACAATTTCCTATGAGAACTCCATCCTTCAAAGCCTTGTGATGCCTTTGTATATATAATTATTTCATTAAATAAAAAGGGGCGAGGCGGGGCACCTCTCGAACTTCCACTTTCCCATCACGGGCCGCTTCAAGTGTCCCAGGGCTGGAGCCCGCGGTTCCCCCACCCGCGAGCGGGGGGCCCGAAATGGCGGCGGGGCCGGTCCGGTCCCGGGCCGCTTGCCGGGACAGCAGCGCCCTCCGGCGGCGCCGAGGGGCGCTCAGTGCGCGGGAGCACCGGCAGTACGGGCACCGGCGCTGTGCCACCGCCCGCCGCTCTGCCCGGCCTCCCGGAGCTGCGCCAGCGCCCCGTGCACATGGGTTGAGCAGCTGCCTTAATTCCAGGAAAGCGGTTCTTCTTGACACTCTCTGCATTTTATTTTTTTTTTTCTGAATACGCCTGAGGCTCATAAAGTGAACTAAACCCTGCCATCTCACTGCAGCATTTTGTGATAACAAAACTAACAGACCTTGGATTTGTCGACCAGGCTATGGGAGTATCTTAGGTCCAGGCACTATGAGACATCGGAGCAGAAGCCGGACACCTGTTCTGGACTGTGATGCAAAGGTGTTTGTAACTTGCTGCTGCAGCTCTGTGCTCTCGCAGGCTGCAGGACTTCTTTTCTTACCTTCTAGTCACCTGGGCTCTKAAACTGTAGTTATGGGCACCAGTAGCAGTCACAGTCACTGCTTTCGCATAGATGCTCTGAGGGTCGTTCTCGAACTTATGGGATACTTCACAGTGTACTTGCAGTACTCCATAATGCTATGTCCTGTAATCAGGACAGATCAGTACAGTAGTACAAAAGAGTAGCTTTTAGTCCCCAAAGGAGGATTATTAGTAGATACTACATCAATCATATCATAATGTCCACTTTTTATGCAAAAAGAAAGTGTAGTGGTAGCCTGTTGCTGAAATCTGTGTCTGATCTGAATATGTTACTGCTGAGTCACCCAGGGAGCAGGAGAGTGGGGAAGTGACCCTACAGAGAGAATAGATGCTAAAAGCCAACAATGAACCCTGTCTTTAGGATAGAATCCTGTCTTGTTTGCTGGTAGTGTGATATGTTTCAGTAAGTATGGAAGTTTTCTGTCAACACCAACTTGTACCAAAAAGATGTGAAGGGTTTTGCTTCATGTAAGGTAGCTGCCTACTACCTTGTACCAGAGGCATGATGTGGGGCTGACGAGACAAAGGCCTGAGGCACAATGGCAAATGAGAGCCTTGCAGTTTGAGGAGAGCTCAGAAGGTGTGTGGTTTGTTGCAGGTTTGATTGTTGTTTGTTTTAATTTTCAAGTAAAATTTTGAAGTACTGTAATGGTTAACAGGATTTTATACTGTATTCCCTTTTGTTTCTTACCCTTCTTAAGGTAAATATATTCCCATTGTATTTTTTATTGTTATAGAGCCAAATCTTGCATTCATACAGTTATTTGTGTCATTAAGGGACCATGAAACTGGTTATGTGAGAATTTCTGTATGATGACCCAGCCTCACAGGTATCTGGATGACACCTCTTTCCCTGCTAAGGACTGTCTGGTATTGCAGCTGCCCTTTGCTCTCTGAGCACTGCTGAATCTGAGCAGAAAGAGGAGTTCATAAGCACCATAAGTGAAGTGGAGAACGATGAGAATGTGGCCTCCTTGAGAAGATGACTGAAGCTGAAGGTGTGAATGTCTCTGGAGACGCAAAGCTTAGTGATGCTATTTCTCTTGGAATGGACCACGGATTTGTATTGGTTGAGGAAGAAGCAGCAGCATGAATGCACGTTTCAGCTAAATGTAAGACTCTCCTCATTATGGGTGAGAAAGTGTTTTCTTTTTGCTTTCATACCATGTCAGAAAAGGAAAGATCAAAAAACCTCTTAATAAGTTGCACCAGTTCTCTGGAGTGTCCAAGCTGAAGTAACCTACACCACAGGCGTAGGCGACTCCCGTTGTCCTTTCAGTCCAACAGGGAGGTCAACTTTACAGCAGAGAAGACAAGACAGTCCCCATGTCCCGATGGGAAGCCCCATATGCTGTATCCCCAGGACCAAGGGGAATCTGCAGTCTATTGAAGCTTTGCCACATTTTTTTTGTTTTTAACTTTCTTAAAAAGCAAATAAAACATGTTTCTTTTGGCTGATAGCCCAAGTGCTCAAGTAGGAGATTGTCTTGCATACAGCATGGAGATGCTTATCCTCTGAGTGATTCCATACTCCAGAAGGATGCTTGAATTGCTATGGACCTTCTTTTGCTGGGACAAATTAACTTCCTAAATGATTCCCTGGCTTTTTGATGTCATGTTGCTCTTATTTCTTTTTCTGCCCAGCCTTCAGAATCTGATGTCTTCTTCACTAGTAAAGAGTGAAATATTTGGGGGGAAAATTATCTCTGTACATTTTTTCCTTTTGTTTCCCAAAGAGACTGACAGGGCTGAAATGTTATGAGTCCTTTTTCTGTTGCTCTTCAGAAGATTCCTCTAGCTTAAAGGCTCTATTTCTCTGCAATCCAGGGAAGCAGAGGAATGGAGATGATCAAAGCTGAATTTTTGGTGCAGTTTTCTGCATAGACCAGTGTATCAAAATATCATCCAGTACAGTTTGTCAGGACTTGGTATGTCACCTAGTAACAGACTTTGCAATTAGATCTCTCTGTTGCTCCTGCAAGTAAAAAAAATGCTGCCATCCTCGTGAGGACTCTGCTATTTTTTTCTCACTCTCTAAATAGTGGCTATGGTTGACAGGCCCTGCATGTTTTGTATTAACCCCAGTCATATGGCTGTTCCAAACCCAAGGAAAGTTGGGGCGGGTTTCCTCTCCAAACATGCTCAAGTTTGTCACATTTGTCATTGTTTCTCTGGCATTTGTGAGGCAGCTCAGCGTGCTTGCTTCTACACAGCTTTGGCACGTTGCTGAGCGACTGGATGTTCCTTCCTCATTGCGTTCTGCAAGGGCTCCAGTGCCCCTTTCTGGTGACCCACCTCTCAACTGGTGCTCTTGCAAAGCAGATAGCAAGTGTAAGCCTAAGACATTTTTACTTGAACCCTCCCTTTGGAGTGATGGTAGCTTAACGTCTAGAGTAGCAACCTGAGTACTTCCGTGTGCCTAAGTACAGCAAATAACCTGAGTAATGGCTAATGAGTTTCCAACGTAGCTTTAGAATCATAGAATGCCGAAGGTTGGAAGGGACCTCAGAGGTCATCGAGTCCAACCCCCCTGCTCATGCAGGGTCACCTAGAGCATGTGGCACAGGGCTGCATCCAAGYGGGTTTTAAGGATCTCCAAAGAAGGAGACTCCACAACCTCTCTGGGCAGCCTGTTCCAGTGCTTTGTCACCCTCACAGTGAAGAAATGCTTCCTTAAGTTCCTGTGGAACTTCTGATGCTTCAGTTTGAAGCCATTTCCTYTAGTCCTATCCCTGCCCACCACTGAAAAGAGGCCGCCCCCCTCCTCCTCACTGCCTCCCTTGAGGTATTTATACACGCTGATCAGGTCCCCCCTCAGCCTCCTCTTCTCCAGGCTGAACAGACCCAGCTCTCTCAGCCTTTGCTCATAGGGCAGATGTTCCAGGCCTCTGATCATCCTCGTAGCCCTGCGCTGGACTCTCTCCAGCAGCTCCACATCCCTCTTGTACTGGGGAGCCCAGAACTGGAYGCAGTACTCCAGATGTGGCCTCACCAGGGCTGAGTAGAGGGGGATGATCATTTCCCTCGACCTGCTGGAGACGCTTTTCTTAATGCACCCCAGGATCCTGTTGGCCTTCTTGGCCACCAGGGCACACTGCTGCCTCATGGTCAACTTGTCGTCCACCATGACACCCAGGTCCCTCTCTGTGGGGCTGCTCTCCAGCAGGTCCACCCCTAATCTGTACTGGTGTCCAGGGTTATTCCTCCCCAAGTGCAGGACCCTGCACTTGCCCCTGTTGAACTTCATGAGATTTCTCACCGCCCAGTCCTCCAGTCTGTCCAGGTCCCTCTGGATGGCAGCACAGCCCTCAGGGCTATCAGCTACTCCACCCAGTTTGGTATCGTCGGCAAACTTGCTGAGGGAGCACTCCAGCCCTTCATCCAGGTCGTTAATGAATAAGTTGAACAGGACCGGACCGAGAACTGACCCCTGGGGGACACCACTAAGTACAGGCCTCCAGCTGGACTCCGCACCATTGACAACCACTCTCTGCMCCCTGCCATCGAGCCAATTCCTAATCCACCTCCCCGTCCAYWCATCTATCCCACACCTTYGSAGCTTGCCCAGGAGGATGCTGTGMGGGACAGTGTCAAAAGCCTTGCTCAAATCCAGATAGGTGACATCCACCGCTCTGCCCTCATCTATCCAGCTAGATATTCCTTCGTAGAAGGTGATCAGGTTAGTCAAGCAGGATTTCCCCTTGGTGAATCCATGCTGGCTACTCCTGAGCACCTTCTTCTGCTCCATGTGTCTGGAGAGAGCAGCCAGGATGAGCTGCTCCATCACTTTAGGTAGCTATTGTTTCTATAAACAAGTTTCTTCTTGTGTGTGTGTGTTTCTCCATAAAGAATGATTTGAGCAAAGTACCACTGACAGCTGGAAACAAGCAGCATTGCTTTCTCAGACATTTTACGTCCTGTTGATGCTACATGCTCTGTGGCAATGCAGCGTAGTGGTGGTTAATGAGAAAGTGGGGTACAGTGATCAGCCTGTCACCTGTCACTCTTGCATGAAGACTACTGGTGCCTGCGCGTGACGGTTAATGCTGCATATGRGTACTCTGCTGAATCAGTGGGCAGTTTCAGATGAGGCTCTTTAAGAGTCATTTGAGTTGTTTTATAGAGCATCAAATGAGCAACCTGGCTCAGCACAGCTTCAAAAATATGACATTTTCAATGTTTTGATTGACTCTAAAACAAAAAGGGATGAGACTCCAGCAGTTTGGAAAGATACTGTTRCTGTGGTAGGTGTTAAGCAGTGATTAATGTTTCTTACTTTAAATCTAAACCTCTCAACTCCTTTCATGTGTTTTTGCTAGGAAAAGCAGATCCTCTGTCAGTCTTTTAGGTTGGAATTTCTTTAGGTGCAAACATTATTGACAATTTAGTTTTCTTGGCAATTTGGGGCTTAGGAGTTCGGCAGTAACTACTCATTCTGAGCCTTGATTTTTTACTCCGCATGGAAGTTGCTATCCGTTGAGCTAATTTATAGAATGTATTATTCTGCAACATTTTTTACTGTATGGAAAACATTTTGTGCTTATTATCACTTGCCACATGCATTTAATCTATTTTTGGTAATTCTTCAGCGCCCATCACCATGGTATCATAGCACCAGTGAACTTAATGCCAATATCCATTCATTATAAACCAACGATGCAAATTCTAATATTAACAAAGCTTTGTTGTGTTACTTATTTTTCAAATACATCCTGATGTGTTTTAATGCTGTCAATCTCCAGCCTTGCTGCACTGTCCCACTTCCAGMCCCAGGTACAGCAGAATGGCAGTTCATACTGGAAGAAAATGAAGTGCTTCAAAGAATTTGTAGAAGATAATATAGTAAGAGGCTGTAATTCAGCTCCCAATATTTGCAACATAACATAAAAATTCAGTAAGCTAAATGGCTCCATGCAACATAATATGTGCATTCAGTATGTTCCAGATTTTTATTAGCTACATTTAATTTTTGAAAAATCATTATGCAAATTATTGTGAAAGAAATAATATAGAACATAAGTGAATGAAAATAAAAAGGCATTTATCCCCCTCATAAGTAGAAGTAAATTTAATTACTTTTAGTTAAATCAATCAGGATATATTTAAAATACATGAGAGTGAACAGTGTGAGGGAAAAAGTTAAACTCTTATGAATCAAACCTTAACCAGTAACCTTGTTCTGCTGCAAAAGTCTGTAGTTGGGGCCTGTTTGCAGCTTCTGGATAGATGCACAGAGAAAAGGCAATTCTGAGAGCTAAGCAGCATTTCCTTGAACTACTGCAGATACTAAGACTCATTAGGGTTCTTGCACCTTATGTATGTATCCTACCAAAAGTAACAGGAGTGATTTAATGCTTTTGGGGCAGTATCTACAAAGGCCCCAAATGATTTATATGCTAGTGAAAAATCATTCTGAAGAGGAGTGTTTTCTTCCCTCACAGCTGCAAATCATGCTTTACAGTTTGTGAGAAAGCATACCTTTGTAGCCCTGTCACTTCATCCTATATTATTTTATTTACATGTATGGCACCCGGTGTGACAACACTTAAACCTCCTCCAGCATAGCTTTGCCATGCATAGWAAAGGTCCATCAAAGACTGGTTGTTCCCCTAGCAGAGGATACTTGTGACCTACTCTAGCCATAGGCGTCCAGTCTATATTAATTTTCTAGGGAGGGCAATGGGTATCTTGAGGGCAAGACAGCCCATCTGTCCTTGGGGTAGGACAAGTCATGTTATATGTTTCCAGCTATTGTATGTGATTGTCAGTTAGCTGCCAGGATACCACTCCCACTCCTCTTGCTCCATGCAAGCAACTGCTGTGCTTCTCTCCAGAGATAAGTGATTGTGGCTGAAAATCAGAGCAAAACAAAAAACTCCAGCATATGGCATCGAAGACTAGATGGCAGCTTGGTATATAAAAGTGTGCTCACCATGCACACTGTACCACCTCTGCCAGTAAAGGCATTGTTGTCTTTTGTTTTAAGCTGCATCCTCTTATATGATATTCTACTTTTTGTTTCTAAGGGGCTAAAAGAAAGGTTAGTCTTTCCAGCATGTGCTGGCACTGCTATTAACCACATTCCACCTTGCTCTCTGATTTCAAGTACTACAGCCTAGAAAGAAAAATACGATTGCAGATGCTTCCAGGCTGTGGCAGGTAATGAAAACAACT